TCTTGCATCCTGGTACACTTGTATTTCATCAATGACAGCTTGTCCATCAATGTTTAATATATAAACTGCAACTCGATCATGTCCTTTGTAGATATACTTGTAAAGGTACGTAACGGCTATTAATCCAGAGCATACTTCAACATTGATATGACAGTCATACCTGTTTAAGAGGTATGGATTATAAGGAACAACCCATTTAAATTTGCATTGAGCACAACGACAGATGGCCCCATTCTTCTTCTGTATATAGGGTATGAATTATTCCTTTGCATTGTTTGTTCAACAAACTAGTGAGGGAAATGATTTTCACATATCCCTTCCTTCATGAATAGGGTTTTTTTTTTTTTAAGCTCCACACGGGGCACGCATCATATGTTTCATGACTCTTTCATATAAGGAAGGATTCTTATCGCTGTTTGGAATTTATGCAGAGAAAAAGTTATCATATTGATCGGCATTGGTAATATGAGTAGAATGCGAGCATGTGATAAACCTCTTTTTTGAATCTCAATGACATGTATACGTGCAACCACCTTTCCAAATATGCATTTTTTGAATAATTGTTGCTTCAAATCATATAATTTGGCTCGAAAGACTCTCGCTGTTAAATCTGGTCTGTCTTGAGCAATTTGTCCCATTTTTAGCTCATCTCCAACCTCTTTCCAGTCAGGATTGCAAGTTATGGTGATGAAATGGTCTGGTTTCCCAAATCTTTGAGCTAAACTCGTTTTATCAAAATAGTCGCCTCATATCCCTAGGTCTTCCAATGAAAGAAGAAGAGAGAACAACTCGTTTTTCGACGCGGTCTCCTCTTATTTCCCCAGAAACAATGTTTTCAACAATTCCCTGATATAACTCTGAATGAATATGTGACTGTTGTGTTCTAAAATAGTCCAAACGCTTTGTTTCAAGCTTTATGTACATATCAATAACATATTTTTGCAATAGCCTCTCATCGTAAAGCAAAATTGATCGATCATGTTCACGAATTTGAAGTTTGTGACAATAATATTCTCTAGATGAAACTTTTTGACTTGCCTTTTGTCCAGCTCCTATACAAATAGTTTTGAAGATGAATTGTATGTCAGGGGAGCAAGATAAGTATTTAAAGATATTTGATTTAAATGAAGTTGTTTTGAAAATTGATAAATTGAATCAGATTACTTCGGGATGTTATTGAAATGTCATTTTGGAATTTGTCTTCCTCACATGTATTATTCTTCACAACACATTCTTGATGACATTTTTTAATATTTGTATGCAATCAATTTCTCCTAATGGAAATAATAAAGGATATTGCAGTGAGTCGTAACAACCATAGTAGTGTCTCACTTTGTATCTTGTACTAGAATGTGCATTAACAATTATGTCCTGCTCTTAGTATATGCTATAATTTGTTCCTTCTATCCACACAGCTGTGACTTGGTCGGCTGAAGGTGAATTGTACACCTTTTGATCAAGTCGAACATCCCTTCTAATCATTATTTCGTAATTCCTTAAAACATGAATGTCTTTGAGCCTGCGGAAAAACTGAGCATATGGATTTGATGGCAATATTTCCATCGACTTCAAAACAATGGGCTTCTGTTATATTTTGATCTTTTAGAATTTGCATTATGTTTGTAACTCATTGTCTATGTCGTAGAAATATAATTGGAAGTAACATGGATTATTGTATTCCATTGAGAGCGAAGGAAGATCATGATATATTTACCCTTGTGTATGAAAAGTGTACATCCAACTCTTCATATTCACGAGTTCTTTGTTAAAGCGATGTGAAAGAGAAAATGATGTTATATGCAGGTATATATCGGCGAAAACATATTGCAAGGGAATTTTTAAAGGTAAATAACTCATATAACTCATCGGGAACAGGCGTAGATGTTAATGTTGCATCACCGTTAGAACGACAAAAAGTTGGAGGTTCATATTCGAATTTTTTCACACACAACTTGGAATCTTCATCAACTTGTAAAGTGTTGGCTGACTTGATTGTACTACATCCCATTCTCTTCTTCTTTTCGATGTATTCTGCACTTGTCTAATTCTCTTATCTCTTTGCTCTTGCGTCAAATTCGCATATCCATTTTTTTGGCATTCATTCAATTGTTCGCTCCTATTGTTAGATGTCATTGATATCAATTGAACAATCTGCCTTCAACAATAAAATATTGTAGCACTGTCTGTTTAATTGAAAGTATGCATTAAATTTTGTATTCCACGAACAATAATATTATTTGTGTGCTATGTCTAATATTTAATTTTGTATTCGACCAATAATAATATTCAGGGACGGCTCAATACAATATGAGGTCTTAGGCGAAAAAAATAAAGTGGTCTTTTAATTAAATCTATTCATATATTTATGCCAACTAATTATTTGTTTAGTGATTTTTAAACCTATCACTAAATTTTTTCCAAACTCTAGTTCTATCATTAATTAATTGGCTATGTGCTTTCTAATAATCATATTTAACAATATAAATAAAAATTATAAACAAAATATATAATTTTATGATAACAAAAATAAATAAAACTATAAACTAACATAAGTTATAGAATAATAAAAACTAATTTCTAATAATTTGGTCTAATGCTCCAATAAATTCTTTAATTGAGTATAAGGTATATTCAAAATCTTCTTCTGGAGTGAGATTGTAAATTGTAACTGTGGAGAAAATGAAAAAAAATAAAAATAAAAAATAAAATAAAATTATAATAAGAGAGGAGAAAAAATATGTGAGGAATAAAATAAAAAAGAGAAAATAAAAATTAATAGGAGACTTAGAAAAATATAGAAAGTTTCACCAATTTTCACTTAAATATATATTTGATATTTAATTTTAATGTGTGTGTATATATGCTGATGTAAATGAGAGAGAGGACAAAAAAAAAAAAAAAAAAAGGAAAAAGATAATACTAGGATAAAAATATTTTGCGAACACTATTAAATTTTGTATTTGTTGAGGTTTAATGGTATAAGAAAATAAAATATTTAGGTAAGTTATAATGTATAAAGAAAAAAAAATATTTAGGTAATAATTAGGTAAGTTATAATGTATAAAGAATAAAAATCTTTTAGGTTAACTATCAAATTTCTCTATATGTTGAAGTTTAATAATTAAAGAAAATATTATAATTGTTTTAGAAAAATTAAAATATATAGAGAAATAAAAAATTATGAGGCCTTCTTATTGGATGGGTTCTTAGGTAACCGCCTAAGACTCGAGCTGATGGAAGGTTATGGAGCATACATTGGCCTTGGCATTTCAAATGGAACTTAGCCTTGTTGTTGTTGTGGTTGGTGAATGAATAACCTAGGCATGCCTAATGGTGCGGTTACAGCTGAAATATTGATTGACACACACACACAAAATTTATAAGAATTAATATGGGACAAACTAATTAATTAATTAAAGCAAAAATCAAGAACAAAAATTTCATTTGAAGTTTTGAATATCAACAAAAATAGATGATTTAAAAATCTAAATTTTTATTTTATTAATTGGTTTGTGTTTTTTTGACCCTGATAATATTATTTGTATGTTACATCTAACATTAGGGAGACTTAAATTCATAATTCAACCGCGTTATCTATTTTAAGATTTTACAAGTCATCATTATCTACCATATAAGAATAACAATTTTATATCGAAATGTAAATATTATAAACTACAGTCAACAATTTGTTATTAGTAAGCAAAATAAGCTACCATGGAATGAAAAAATTTAAGTTGGATTATACTTATGTTTTTTAGTATGTCTTTGTAAATAATTTATTTATTTTATTTGCCTAATGTTTAATGTTTAGATTAGAGAGTCACATTAACTATATATAAATCTTAACCATAATTTTTTTTACAAAATTTTGTGTTTTCTTCAATATTTTCAAAGTTCGAAAATACATATCACAACTCAGTCAGTTCAACATTTTGTGGGATTCGTTCAATTGTTCATGCCTATTGTTAGATGACATCGATATTAGTTAATCAATCTGCCTTCAACAATAAAATATTTGTATCATTGTGTGTTTAATTGAAAATATGCATTAAATTTTGTATTCCATGAACAATAATATTATTTGTGTGCTATGTCTAATATTTAATTTTTTATTCAACTAACAATAATATTATTTGTATGCCACATCTAACATTGGGGAGACTTAAATTAATAATTTAACTACGTTATCTAAATCCATCATACCATATAGAAATAACAATTTATATGGAAACATAAATATTAAAAATTGTAGTCAACAATTTGTTATTAGTAAGCAAAATAAGCTAACATGGAGTGAAAAATCTAAGTTAGATTATGCTTATGTTTTTTAATATGTCTTTGTAAATTATTTATTTAATTTATTTGCCTAATGTTTAATGTTTAAATTAGAAAGTCACATCACCAACGATATTAAGTGATCAATATGTCTTAAACAATAAAATATTTGTATCATTGTGTCTTAATTGAAATTATAACTTGAAATTTTTATTGGATATATAATAATATTATTTATATGCTAAATTTAGTATTAGGAAGAGTTAAATTAATAATTCAATCACCTTATTTAAATTAAAATTTTACAAGACATGATAACATTTTTGTATATCGTAAAAAGTGTTGAACCAGCCGTCCCAACTTTCTCTCCCACCTCTTCCTAACTTTCTCTCTCTACCAGACAGCTTCACCATGCCTCTATGCTCCCTTTTATGGGAGGAGGGAGGCAAAGGCCGCCTCTCAATTATAATAAATTCGGCGTGTTTCAATAAGTGTGCTTCGTGCCGTGAGTGTTTTTTTTAAGCCCTTTTTTTGTTTTCTTCGATTAGATCTGTTCATGTTCGGTTCGTTTTCGAATCACATTGGCGGATCTGTTGTTTTATTCGACTAGATCTCTAGTCTAGGTCGGTTTTGGTTTTCCCCGCCTCGATTTAATCTTTTTTTCCTTGATTTGATCTTGTGCGGGGTTTCTTGGATGTTGTAACGCCTTATGGTTGTACCTTTGGAGCGTTTGCCGTGATAATGGCCAGACCTTTTGATCTTTGCTACGTTCTTTTATGGTGGTTCTATTTGCAGAGTGTTGGACTCTGTTTCCTCCACAAATCTGGAACCTCTTCTTTATTTATTTACTTTGCTTCAAAATTTGTATGCCTTTTCTAGCTTTATGTCTCTGTACCGTGCCATCTTGGCTTTAGGTCTTTTTGCGGTTTTGAATGAAAAAAAATAAAAAAAAAATTGTATCAAAATATAGACATTAAAAACTTAATTCAGTAGTAAGTAAAATAAATTGCCCCAATTGAAATTTGGATTAGGCTTAGTATGTCCTTGTAATGTTTAGATTAGAAGGTAACTTAACTCTTAAGACTGAACCAACCGACCGCCGTAAACAAATAAACCCTAAACCTAAAGTTCCGTCTTCCTCTCTGTCACGCTGCCATGAAATCTTCCACGACCTCCTCGTCCCTAGCTATCGCTGGCTTCACAGTTCACACCGAGTAACCGACAACGAACCGACTTCTCAGTAATCATTCATCATTTTTCAAATTCGGTAAGATTTATTTCAATTTTTAGGTTTTGTTAATGTTCTTCGGTTGGTACTTCAGATGTCTTTTGGGATACTGTTGGTTGTGCTTTACATGTTTTGGGGTTGTAATCGGGTATTCAGTGTTTGGGGGATGGTTTAATTGTTTGTTTGGTTTTGAAGATACTATGTTTTGGGCTTTTTTCGAATTTCTTCTCTCATTGTCTGCTTAAGAAAATCAGGACTTGGTTGGAATTCTGCACCAAATATTGCAACAAACTCATTATTTTTGTAACTTTTTTGGCCAATTACATGACCAATATTTTTGTTCCTGCTTGTGTTTTTATTTGCTAAAGGTGTCTCTGTTGACTAAAATTCTATTGTTTTTGTTCCTGCTTGTGTTTTTAGTTTATGTGGTTTCGTGGCTATGTTGGTTTTCTGTATTTTTTTTTTTTTTAATTCAAGATTTTAGGTGATTTTTGTATGTTTATCTGCTGTATATATATTCTCCCTTTATATCTATATCAACTCCCTTCAAATTATTTCTTGGGTTGAGTTATTTGTGGTACGATTATTTGATTATTTGTTTTTTTTTTTTGGTTGCATTGTCTGTATATTTATTATGTCTGTATATCTTTAATTACGTAAAGATGAAGTCGATGAAGTCATTATACCATTCACTTTCATACTGTGGTAGCCCAGCATAAATTAATGTCAACTGTGGTAGCCCAGCATAAATTAATGTCAACTGTGGTAGCCCAGCATAAATTAATTTTGACATTATTACAAATGCAGAAATACCTTTTTAAAACTTTAGGTGTGATTCATGTAAGTTTACATGATTGATCAGCATTAGGTCCCTGGTGTATATGTGGTGAATGATATTGCGCTTTGATTAATTGTTTTGAATGATGAAAATAAAATAGGAGCAAGTGCGAATTTAGAGACTTTTGGGGAGGGGTTCTCGAATCAATAGGATTCAAACTTATAATAGGGGACATATTCTAGGAACAATAAAAACACAAATGGAAATGTAATGAAGAACAAGGGTCAAGAGATTAACTTAATACAACCTTTTTTTGACTTCTCAGGGTCGTGAATCTTGTCTTGCTATTCCGCTCTAACGCGAATAACTTCATCAAACCACAATTTCATGTCTTTCCTTTAGTCTCAACATGGATACGTTACTCTTCTTTATTAGAGCAATTGTTGGTCATATAAAAGTATTTCTGACTACCACAATTTTCTTGTGAATGAGCATGTAACCTTCAAATTCTCTGTCTGTCCTTGTATAGAATTCTAAAAGTGCACATGATTGTTTTTTAAAGTAACATTCAAGTAATGTAACATGGCTTTAATCTCAATACACTACACACTGTGCACAAAATTTCATGGTTATCTTCTATTGAACAACCATATTGTGGTGTTGTTATCTGCATTTGTCACTGCAAAAATTGACATGTTTATCAGTCACTGTAACTTTGGAATTTGGGCATAATATGAGCTCTTCTTCTAGTAGATATATCATATGATGCTGTTGCTTCGCCTGTTATGTAATTATTCAGCCTTTGATCTTTGTTTGCAGAATGAATAAACTCGTATAAACAACAAGATGGACATAAAAGCATTCCTTTTGGGGAAGTTCAGTGGCCAGATACCAAACAGATCTATGAAGGAAAACATAGTTCAACAGGAATGTGATGCTTGGCAAGTACCTTGCTTTCCAGCTTCCTCATATTCATCCATATGTATGACAAATCCAGCTCTGGGGATGTCTCCCAGAATCGGACCTAATACGTTGAGGACCATCAATGCTTGTGAATGCGACTTCTTTGAAGGTGAGTCATTCTTTATGACTAATGGCTGAAAATTCTTGTAATGGATTGTTCTACATATATTTGCACTTTTTAGTTGAATGAAAACCTAATTTGATTCTCTATAATTCCCCAACTTGCATGATTATATGAACATCACAAACATTGTCAAATATTACTAAACAATTGACAAAATATTCTTCTTCTTTATCTACATTTGCTCCCACAGACATTAATTACAATTCAGCATTTTAATTTCCAAAGTTTCCAAATAACTCCTTACACCATAAAATCCCCTGAAACCTGAAGCATGTCCTGAAATTTTCTATCTGGACAAAGTGTTGACATTTTGGCTCATTTTACCAACTCAGAATCTGGCAAAAATAATTCCTTCTAAATTTGGTTGACTCAACTCAGATGTTCTATTTGACTCCCTGTACTAGGTTAAAATTGGGATTGGTGTCACCTTTGCCTTGCAGACGTGCCACAATATTTTATGGAGTTTCTGGCTGAGATTGTATCATCCATTCTCCACATGCCCAATTCTTTTTATCTTATATGCTCTCTTTACTTTTTCTTCTTGACCAGGTGAATTGAACTACTCACACTATAGAGGATTCATGGAGAATGATCACAATGTTTGTGATGTGGGTTTTGCATCACCGCTGGAGCAAAAATTGGAGTTTCCTTATTCAAATTTGCTGAACTCGCGACAGGGTACACAGTGGATTACTGAAGTCTCTGATATTTTGAATAATCTGAGCTACAATCCTCCCAGATCAATGATTGAGGATTTATTGCAATCTCAACTGTTGATGCCAAGGTCTCAAGAGTTTCATCAGTGGCACCATCAGCCTTATGTGCAACTTGATAAGCCGTTTGAGGCCCAGTCACAGTGTTACCTGGTTGAAGATGAAAAATGTTGTAATGAAACAGCAGGGCAAGAGGCATCTAAGCTGCCTGAGCTCCATTCAGAACAATCTCATGGTATTACTGGTGAACTTTACCAGGGGTCTAGAAAACCAAATAATGGTCTCAAAAGGGCTTTTTCTGATGGAGATCTTAGTGACACCAACTCTGTCATTACAGAAGATGTTCTGCCTCCTTCAAAATATCTGAAGACAGAAAATTCTGATTCCTTTGAAAGAGGAGTTTGGCATGCAGTTGATCGTACATGCATAAGTGATAAAAGAAATGCTGTCGCAGAAAATTGTCACTCAGAAGTGCCCCTTGATAGTCATAAAGAGGAGGAGATACAAGTGAGGACCATGTCTGACCAGGCCAGCCTAGAAACAAAAGGTGATTTAATTGCCCCTGCAGCCGATAATGAGTCTACAAAGAAGTCAGAGGAACCAAATATACTAGTCGTGTCTTTTGCTGATTTTTTCACAGCAGCGCAAATAAAGGAGCATATCTCCAGTCTTAGGCTGTGGAATAGTCAGGTTTGTAGATCAATTTTGAATTGCTGTTATTGGGTGATTTACTTTCACTTTATTACTTCTGATTATATACTCATTAATATGGTTTGTTGACGTAACAAGATTATAGATGTTATATACTCTTAAGTTTAAGTTGTTAGGGAGAGTGTAACTTAAGTATTTTATATACTCAACATGCTGCTCTAAAAGCTTAAATTGTTAGAGAAGGTGTAACTTAAGTATCCGTATACTTTGAAATTTATTTAGCTTGAGATGAAGTTATAGCACTTTCATGAGTTTTGCTTCATTCTGCATTGGAAACAAAATAGATTATTTTGGTTCATCGGCCAATCAGCCATCTTAGTGTTACTTGGGGGACTTCGTGTCCTATATCTGGAATTTTTTATTTTTATTATTATTTTTTTTCTCCATCATACAAATGAAATTAGGAAGTGTGGATATATGACTAGAAAACATATTTAAATTGCTCCTGTTAACTGAAGTGAAATTTTCTTAAAACTTCGACTTATTTGATCAATTTCTTGCAAAATAGGGTTGCGGATTGGAGTGTATACTGCAGAGATTTTTAATACAACCAACAATTTTGTGCCATTAATGCTCTCTCTCTCTCTCTCTCCCTTATATATATATATAGAGAGAGATATATATTTTGTTCTAACGATGCATGTAATATGGGCTTGCCTAAGCACGATCTTGTGTAAATGACTATAATTGCGATGCATTCCATTTGAAACAGAGTATCAAGGAAGCATCAGAAAATACAATTGCACATTCTGTTGGTGAAGGCTCGTGCCAGTTGTGTGCCATGGGAAAGCTTGTGTTCGCTCCGGCACCTAAGTATTGCTCAACTTGCGGAGCTCGCATAAAACCGAGTTTGTTTTATTATCACAGGCTGGATGAAAAGGGTGCACAGCATTGCTTTTGTCCCTCATGCTTTAGGGTGTCTCGTGGTGATACCATCTCATTCCAAGGGGTTTCCATATCCAAAGCAAATCTGTACAAGGCTTGTAATAATGAGGAAAATGAAGAATCAGTAAGCTCTGTCATTGTTTCCTCAGATAAATCTATTCTATAAATTGTAAAAAATTCAGTTTTCTGACTCTTATGCTATTGCAGTGGGTTCAATGTAATAAATGTGAACAATGGCAACACCAGATATGTGGTCTCTACAATAAGAAACAAGATTTGGAAGGAAAAGCAGAGTACATTTGTCTAAAATGCCGTTTAGAAGAAATAGAAATTGGACATCAGATGCCTTTATCAAAGACTGCAGCATTTGGAGCAAAAAATCTGCGAAAGACTAGGCTTAGTGATCACATTGAACGAAGGCTCTTTGGGCGTCTCAAGCAAGAGAGAGAAGAGAGGGCAAAGGCTTTAGGAAAGAACTTTGATGAGGTAAGAAGCAAACACTGTTTAATGAGTTGGAATTTTAAATCGCTTTAATCATCAAAACATATTTAATTAAAATTATATATTTAGACAAAAGAAAATTAATAATACAGTTGGTGATGAATGTATATTACTCAAATTCTGCTGATTGATCCATAAAACTCTAGACTGAAGGATATAAAACATAAATTGTTGAAGTAGGATCAAATTCTTGTGTTCTTTGTATCCAACAATTTTGTTCTTTTATTGTATATGAGTAGCTCATACCATGTATGCTGCTTCTTTTCTTTTCTTCCTTTTTGGTCTTAATAAGAGAATATTGAAATCTACTTCAGCTGCTTGATATTTCATGTATAAATTTTGACCTGTTAATAGGTACCTGAAGCAGCTGATCTCGTCGTCAGAGTGGTGTTATCTGTCAAAAAACAATTGAAAGTGAAACAGCAATTTTTAGATATCTTCCAAGACGAGAATTATCCTGCAGAATCCCCATACAGGTCAAAGGTGAGACAAATTAAAGTGATCCATAAATTTTTTTCACTTTACTTAATCTTTATTAGGGCAACTTACTGAAGATCATTTGAGATTCTGAAAGTACCAGGAAGCTCTCTTTAGGTTGATTAATACCATTGATCTTGTCTTAAATACCTGAAATAATAATAAACTCCTTTGAGGTTTTGGATTGACTTCTTGTATTCACCACTGACCGCTCCCTGATATTAATCTTCAATTGATTATTTTCTTGTTCTTCACTCTTTCAATGAACTTTACTATTATAAGGGCCAATACAATCAGTTTTTCATCATTTGAAAATTGAAAGGATGGAAGTGAGTGTGTTGATGTACAGCCACGTGGGAGGTCATGTTATTTCAAATGCTCTAAGAAAAGTCTGTTATTTTCCTGAAATATTCTTTTTTGTGGCTTTACCCATGTTTTGGCACTGCTGTTAACTATTTTTGTGGTTTTCCCAACCAGGTGATTCTTTTGTTTCAGAAAATTCAAGGTGTAGATGTATGCCTTTTTGTAATGTATGTTCAAGAGTTTGGTTCAGAATGCTGTCCACCAAATCAACGTTGTGTTTATATATCGTATCTTGATTCTGTCAAGTATTTCATTCCAGAGATAGATACCGTTAATGGCGATGCTCTTCGTACCTTCGTTTACCATGAAATTTTGGTAAATACCTTTTTTAGTCATATATTGGATTAAAGAGCTTCTAAAGTTTCTATTTTTTGATAGGATTATTTAAAATTTCTGATTTACACATGTAAATAACAAGATTTGCTTTTTTTTTTTTTTTTTTTTTCTGTATCATTATCAGATGGGATACCTAGAGTATTGCAAGAAACGAGGTTTTTCAACCTGCTATATATGGACCTGCCCACCTTTAAAAGGAGAAGATTATATTTTATATTGCCATCCAGAGACACAGAGAACACCAAAAGCTGATAAGCTGCGGCGGTGGTAATTCCCTCTCCCTCTCTCTCTCTCTCTCTCTCTCTCTCTCTTTCTCTCTGTGCATGTGTGTGTTTGTCTGTCTGTTCTGTCTGTGTGTTTGTGACTCACATCGACATATATATGACTGCATGAGTGCAATTAAGATATGTGCAAACTGGTAGCATTTCTTGTGCATCTTGCTCTTGAGGATTATTAAACTTGTACTGAGATCAGCCTTTTGGGTTAGGTGGCTGTTTCCATATGTGGTCATCACACACCAAAGCATTGCCTGAATAGTGAATAGTCCATTACTTATGTTGATCTAGGTAGTTTGTGCTCAGATTCTGTGCTGCAGCTTTTGCCCGTGTGCATGTCTTGACTGGATGATGTTCCACTTGCAGGTACAAGTCAATGCTAAAAAAAGCAGCCAATGAGAACATTGTGGTGGAGACCACTAATCTATATGATGAATTCTTTATTTCTACTGGAGAAAGCCGAACCAAGATAACTGCAGCTCGTTTACCATATTTTGATGGTGACTATTGGTCAACTGCTGCTGAAAATGTGATTAGAAATATTGAGGAAGAAAGTGGAGGAGATTTACAAAGGAAGGTGAAGAAACTAACGACAAAGAGAAATTTAAAAGCCATGGGGCATACCTCCAATCCTTCTGGTGATGCAGTGAAAGATATTCTACTGATGCATAAAGTAAATTCCTGCTCAATATTTTCCTTCTTTATTCATATAATATTCACAGATGTCACTGATTTGTGTTATTTAGGACTCTAGTTGATTCTTACCATGCTAGGCTTTTAGTATATGTCTTCGGAACTTCTATGGCTAGGCAATGGCAACCAAATTTTAACAACAGTGATTACTTAATTTGGCCATTCAAGTGCCCCAAAGGTGTCAAATCAGGGCTCATAAAGTGGCCATGCAGTGGCCAAATAAAGCTTAAATAAAGCTCTGGGTTGGATTAAATAAAGCTTACCAAGGTCTTAGGCATGGCCGGAATGGTTTCCCCCTAATATAATCTGGATCTTCAACAATGTCGAATTAAAGCAAAGATCAATTAAATAGCCAGGATTAGCTGAAACTGCTTATCAAATAAGATTATTTATTTATTTCTATTTTTGATGTTTGGACTGCTTGCTGATAGATGACGTGTTGCGTGATTCTAAATAGGGATTAGAGTTCCTTTATGCAGAAACTTCCCTCATAATAGACCACATAATTAACGAATTCTTTGCTTTCTCAAAAAAATAGAAAGTTACCTGTATAAATTAGCATAGGTTTATTTATTTATCTTTTAATGTGTTTGATCCTTCTCCTTCCACAACATGTAAAGGATAACATGCCTCCTTCAAATGACATAGCAAGCTCCAAAAGAGCTTAATTAAAAAATTGTTTTATGCTCTTAGTTCAAAGGTTACCGCCAGGCTAATAGGTCAGGTGGTATCTAAATTGGATTCCAACCTACGTGTCAAAGGTTCAAGTTTCTGTGTTGTCTTGAAAGAAGAAGATAACTGAAGACATGATGTCATGCCCATTCTTGTAGTCACTTGGTGATGACTTCTTCCTAGGACCTAATACAGGCAAGGGATCCAGTGGATGCCTAATGGACACCTTGATTTACTACAGTTAAAAAAACTTTACCTGATACTGTTAGCCTATCTAGCATCTTCAGTTTCATGTATTTGGTATAGCTTAGTTTGAAATTTTTGTTCAACTAAATTTGGATTATGCTAGCATTTGTCAAAAAATTCTAAATCATCAAAGAACGATGATAAACTGAAAACTCTCCCTTGTCTTGCATGGTACCCTATGATATGTGAAACTTCAAATTTTGTACTAGTACTTGTGGGCCACAACTTGATATGGGACTATAAAGATATGGGATATGTATTTGATGCATCTAGAAACACATCATTTTGCATTATATCAAAAGCTATTGCTTTTCTTTTCATTTGATGAGATTTTAATAGTTTGTTATTGCTGTTGTTCTTTTTGTCCTTGATAGCTGGGGCAAACCATCTTACCCCTGAAGGAAGACTTTATAATGGTCTACTTGCAATACACTTGCATGTGCTGCCGTGAAGTGATACTAACTGGAAGCAGGTGGATTTGCAATCAATGCAAAAATGTTCAGCTATGTGAAAGGTAATTGCCGTGTTACAGTCATGATTTATTCTTCTTTTTTTCTCCTTACTAGAGACATACATCTTTCATGTGCTATGGTGTATGCCCTTATAATCTTGTTAATGTTAAATACTTAAATGCTTGTTATCAGTTTGTTTTCCCTCCCGCCATCTCTTTTATTTTTTATTTTTATTTTTCCCCAGTAAGTTCATCCTTTCTTTTTTCTTCTCAACTCTTGCATTTCTTGTAATGAATATCCAATTGAGTCTTTCTTACAGCCTTCCTTTAATTGTAAGCTTCGGTAGTACTCAAAAGTCACTTCATCCTATGATATAATATGATGATATATGAAGAAGTCAATGAGGAATAGGAAATTAGGAATTAGATCTTAAGTGGCCTCGTTGGCATTCTCTTTTGGTTAAGAAAGGTGTTACAAATCCATTTATTGTTAAGTCAAATTTCTATGGCTTTGACTCGTTTTTTAATATGACGTGCATCAGGTAGGTATAGGAAGGGTTGAATATGTAGGTATAGGAAAGGTTGATTATGAAACGTGACTTAGGTCAGCTAAATGAATCCTACTTTTCCATTCCCTCTCTAATGCCATTACCTTAATCGAACTATTTATTGACTTCATGAAGTGTATTACAGTAGTCATCTTATAATACTTTATTTTTTATTCATCTCACCCTTTCATATATGCTTCAGATACCATGATTTTGAGAAAAATGTCAATGACAATATATTACAGTAGTCATCTTATAATATTTTTTTCTTTATTCATCCTTTCATATATGCCGCAGATGCCATGCTGTGAAGCAAAATGTCAATGAGGATGGAACGCACACTTCCCAGAGCGGGAGAAGACACTTACTCTCTCAGGTGAATCCCGAACATCAAAATTTCCAATCACCACCAATTGTCCTTATAAGAAGCAGGAATAATTTCTTTAGCACATGCTTTAATTTATAATAACTTTCAGTACCTGTTCCTGTTTAAATTTTCTTCCTTATGTATATTGTTTCTTATACTTTTCAGGTGGTGGTGGATGATGTGTCTGCTGATACTGAGGACAATGACTTATCTTTCGATAATGATTTCTTTGAGATTAGGCATACATTCTTAAACTTCTGTCAGGAGAACAATTATCAGTTTGATACACTTCGTCATGCCAAGCATTCTTCACTGATGATCCTGTATCATCTCCGGAGTATGATAGCACCAAGTTCTGGGACCAACTGCAGCATTTGCCATAAGGATATTATAGTAAACCAAGGCTGGCATTGTGAGACATGTCCAGAGTTTGATGTTTGTGCTGCATGCTATCAAACAAGAAATGGTGAGTGTCGTGTTCATCATAAGTTAACTAGGCGTTCTGCTGCTGCTAATTGTGAGTCAAACAGCAACCAGGCTCAGCCTCAGCAGGTAAAGGTATGGAGAAAATCTCTTATAAACTTAATTATAATATTTAGATCCCACATGTCCAATATTTGATTCTTTTCACATTCAAGCCGAGAGACATGGGTCATTATTGGGTGTTCTACTTTTAGATGCAATTATATTTGCCAGCGATATTTAACCAATTATAGAGGAATGTATTTCCAAAGATCTATTCCTTGATCGCAACACTCAACCAATACAGCAAGGACGTAGTTGTCCTTTTGGTTGACCAAGAAATGGAACTAGCTTGGAAACATTTTCAAAACACAATAATTATTGCAAAATTAAATTCGAAATGCTTGGAATATAAAGTACAATTATATGAGTTATATAAGTGAAATAATTTAATTTAAGGCCTGCTCGTCAGTCTAAATGAGAGGAAAGTAGGAAACAAGGGTGGAATTGATTAGTAAATGCAAAAATATAAATAAATCATCAAATAATATAAACAGTACTTTACTGGTGAAAAACAAACATAAAGGTTTTTAAAACTAATTTTGGCATGTAATATTGAATCATTATAATCACACATGACACTACCTTTTTGTTGGCTGTTGAGATGGTGTTTACATGGAGGAAATTTTTTAACTGTTTCATTATTTCAACCATTCTTTTGTATGTTTCCAAGTAGGCAAATTTTCATAGAAACATGTCAATTTTGGATTTCCACTCGTGTTTCTCTTCATACGTTAGGCTGTTTCTGTAGAAACAACATAAAATTTGATCCTTACTTAGTTTAATGTAATATGTTGTTTATTGATGTTTGCAATTGGCTTGTTAAGCATTTTTATAAGCATTTCTTGGCCAATATTTGCTCACACCCTGCCTGATGAGTATCATTGTTCGTATTTTGAATTTTTATGTAATTTGGTGGTGCAGTTGAGTGAATAAGTGGATGTTCTACCACGTGCCATTCAATGCCGTGCAACCCAAAGCAATCCATGTTCCTACCCCATGTGCCTTCAAATCAAAAGACGCCTCATGCATGCACATCAATGCAGTCTTTCTTTTGGGTGGTGGGCATTGTAAACTATGCCATTCAACCACGATGATACTGAAGTCCCACTCAAAAATTTGAAAAGATTCAGATTGCATAATACTGAGTTGCAGGTGCATTACACTGACAGCGCCATATTTCTTGATTTCAATTATTAATTTCTAATGGAATTAGAATTAATAATGCCTGCCGAAATCCTAACGTGCATTGTGTATTTTGAACATGCAGGGCTGCGAAGAGTAGGTTAGAAAAGGTCTAATTTTCAGTCTAAAACTCGGTGAAGGGCTGCTGGTACGGGTCAGGAAACAACCGAGGTTGCTGGAAACAGTTGATTGTCCGAGTGTATAGGAATACCGTGGTTGCTGGAAACAGTTGATTGTCCGAGTGTATAGTAATACTGAGGTTGCTGGAAACAGTTGATTGTCCGAGTGTATAGTAATAGATGGATCATCAACGACAGCACCCGTTGCTGGAACAGTTGATTGTCCGAGTGTATAGTAATACCGAGGTTGCTGGAAACAGTTGATTGTCTGAGTGTATAGTAATACCGAGGTTGCTGGAAACAGTTGATTGTCCGAGTGTATAGTAATGGATGGATCATCAACGACAGCACCTGAGGTTGCTAGAAACAGTTGATTGTCCGAGTGTAAAGTTATAGATGGGGATCATCAACGACAGCAGCCGCTTATACTGATCAATACCATTCAAAGTAGTAGTATTTGAATATACTGACTTGTTTATTTTGATGGTTCTATAGATTACTTCACTGCACTGTGCAGGGAGTTCATTCAAACAGTGTGTCATTTGTAATTCCAGAATAGTTATCATGTGAATAAAAGGATGCTATTCATGAATAAAAATATCCGGTGATCGATTTTTACCTTCTAGGCATGAAATCAGTGTGTGTGTGTGTGTGTATTTTTCTTCTCCTCTCTCTACTGATAGTTTGATTATGCCTCAACCAATTAAGCTTTTAGTGAAATTCCATCTCTTGAATTCCCTTGGTTGGGATTGGCGCCGCCCATAAGACCTAATGGTTCTGAAGTGGTAGCTTTTGTATTTGTAGCCTAATGGAACATTTGGTTTGTATACTGTCAGCTTATTAGTTTGTTTTTAACAAGCCTATTATTGGCTCCAGATGTAAAAAAATTTGAACAGTTGGAGTCTGATTTGATTTTGTATCTGCAGGTGACAGGCACTTGTAATCAATGTATTAATTTCTGAGTGAGTTGGGTTGAATAAAGCTTTCTTGTCCCACACAGTGAAATGATTGAGTTCAGTGTAAATAGGGAAATTTTATTCTTTTTGACTCTTTTCTAGTTTATTGTATTTTTCTACAATTTTTTATTTATTATTTTAGTTCCATAATTTTTGTTATTAAGATTTTATTTGAGTGTTAAAATCTCATGTAAATACGCATTGCTTGTTCTTGATTGAATATTGGTTTGATGTTCCAAGTATGATAGGTTGCTGGAGCTGCATGATTCATCTCGGTTAGGGTTTCTATGTCTTGGACAGTCTATAGTGCATAGCCTGGTTATAATATATTTTATTTTTCTTCTTTGTTTTTATTTTTGACTTCATCAAATTTAATTTGTGTTTTAACTTGGCTTTTGATGGAGTTGCTTGCATCAAGGTATGCCTCTTTTCCCTTTTCACTTTGCATGCTTTGGTTGGATGTTAAGGGGGCCATTGATAAGTGCACTGGTAAAGACACATACTTTCCCGCACTCCATGTTGGTCTGGATAAGCCTTCTGCCTCAGTTGATATCTTCTTAGAGGTCCAGAGGATAATTGGAGTTAGTTTTGTACATTTTCCCTTGATTTCTATATGATGTTTATTATTATTATTATTATTATTTATTTATTTCGAAACTAGAGGGGTGTCCCACCCTTTTGGGTGGATTATTCCCCACTGAATACTTGGTACGCCCCCAATGTTACACGCCAGAGAAACCTTGTTAGGTTGACCTCAAGGGTTGATTGGGTTTCTGTATTGTTACTCGTAACAAAAAAAAGATTCCAATTAGGTTTTGAGAGAAATTCAATCCCTTGAATTCCCTTTGTTGGTATTGTGGGCGCCCATGAGACCTAATGGTTTGCACTGGTGGTGGCTTTGGTACTGTGGCCTAATGGGACATTTGGTTTGTATACTGTGAAATTATAGTTGTTATTAAACAAGACTGTTGTTGGCTCGAGATTTAATATTTTTCAAACAATTGTGTCTAATCTGATTTTGCATCTCGAATCGTGTTCAACGTAGGTGAAAAGTACATAGAGCTAATAAATTATTAGGTGATCTGAAATGGTCAATCACAAGATATCATGTAACCAAATATGTTAGCTTTATCTAGTTTTTTATATATTTATTACATGGTATTTCGTGATTAACAGGGACCACATGATCTTAGATTATTATCTACTAATTTCGTGATTAACAGAGAGCATCATTGTATAATATCCAAATGTTTTTTTTTTTTTTGGACAAGTATCCAAATGCCTTCTCAACTTAATATTAGTAAGTTGTTAATAGTTAATACTATTGGCATCATTTTTGGAAAAACAGTTATCAATGCGTTGACACAATTTGAGTCCAAAGAAATTGAAATTTGAAGTAATAAAAAAAAAAGAAAAAAGAAAAAGAGTTGTCAATCCCTTAGGCCTGCTTAGCATGCCAAATCGGAACCATCTTTGGTAACAAAAATTTGTTTTGGAAAATTTAGAAATTTGCTTTAGTTCCTCCGCTACAGTACTAAAGTACACAATATCACCAATTTGGTGATATGGGTTTGGATCAAAAAATTTGATATATTCTGAATTATTTCAAATTAATATAAGCCGTCCCAAACATGTTATGGGTCTAAATTTAAAGATCAATATTAAAAAAATAATATCATAACACATTTCAAACAGGTCCTTAAGTAGTTGATATCTTTCTAAAATTAGAGGATTTGATAGTGTTTGGGATTTGCTTTTAAAAAAATAAAAAAAATTGGATGCTCACGGAAGAAAATTTTGTCCTTTGTATAAACCATGATTTTGACTCTGATAATAATGATTATTAATGCGTATTATTAAATTTGTAATTTAGAAATATTTTTACATTTTAAAAGTAGAATGTGACTAGTTTAAAGACACTTGGAGAGAAAACTGACCGAAAGAATCCATTTCCCTCCACAAGGTTAAAATAGGCCTCTAGTTTCTTGTTAAGAATAATAATAAGTTTCTAGTTAAGAATAATAATAATAATTATTATTAGTGTGAATATATTTATGGTAGATTAATGACAATTACACTATATTGAATAAGGAATTTTTCATCATTTGAATCAATTATATATCCATCTAACACAATATTTTTTTTATTATCTCAAGGCAATAAATTCAATTATTTTTTCCCCCTTTTTTCAGTTAAAATTAAAATTCTACCACCAAGTTGATAATAACTCTTGTCAACTTGATAATCTCATGCAGTAAGACTTACAGTCTGTATGTTATGATTTTCACCATATATTTTGGACACGTGCATAAATATTTAAGAAACATTCTTGTAAATAGCTAACGAGTGTACGGATTAAACCATGCCTTATTTCTTAATAACTCTTTATTGAATTGAATAGACATATAAGCGAACAACATGACAAATGAAAAATACATAAATGTTGTCGATTCCAGATTCCAAACTTGATAAATGAAAAATACATAAATGTTAGCTATTCTCACAGGTCAAAGCAATTTAGTGCGATGTTGATGCTAGCCAAAAATGAACTAGCCCAAACCAATAACTTGGCTAACCCACCTTTTGGCCAGCTCCACATTGCATCAAACCATCGCCAGAAAGTGTGACAAGATGGCTACAATTTAACTACTATTTAACTACTACACTTGCGTAACAAAAAGGTATAGAGTCGTTGAGAAGTCAAAAGCTTTTATACTCTTTCTTCTTCTTTTCTCTTTTGTCCATCCATGTGTCTTTAACTTTGCTTATTTTTTAGTTTACAAGCTCAATTGAGAGTATATTCTCAATGTTCTTGTTGTGATTAACATTGCTGCTACTATTTAATGATATAAATTCATAGTACTTATATGAACATCTTCATTCGCAACCTGCAATTAAGTACTAATTGAAAATCAGGCATAAGAATGTATAATAATAGCAATTTAAGAACATTATAACACCGAATTCAATTTATGTTAATGAGATAATAAACTCGCACCCATGTGATGTCATCATAATATCATGTGATGGGACTCACAACTCCTCTCACATAAATTGATTTCAGTAATTATCAAATTCGGTTACTAAATCACAATGAATATATGTAAATTCATATGGAGAAGAAGATTTCAAAAAGAATAAATGATGCCACTGGCACACACCACTATGCTAGAGATGGTGCTGTAATTAAAATTGGAGATCTATAAAGAAAAACATCAAAATTCAAGAAGGGCATGGAATTGTTCAGAAGAAAATTGTTCACGACTGCTTAACAACATCATCTGTCTATTGAAGTGGGGGAGAGCTTGTCAAGACATTGAAATTGCATCCCTAAAACTGCTCGGAGAGGCGTAAAATTCGCACTCTTCACTGAGGCGAAAAAGAAACAATCCAACATCTAGATGCTCAACCAGGTATTCCATTATTCTAGAGGTGAGAACAGAGAAGAAACTATGTTAAGTTGCCGAAAGTCGTCTTCAATTTCGTATTTGCCCTGCCTCCGCGATCTCAAATTATCCCGTTACTATCAAAATGTTCCTTCCGGTATTCTCGGACAATGACAGGAACACTTGTGGGTGGGACCTGGATGAACCACAAAAACATGAGAATAATCTTGAACAAAAGTGAATGAAGTGAACAAACAATATAACAATGCCAAAAAAAACAGACTGAAAAATTACATGCAAATAACATGACAATTTTTATCGGTAAGTTGGCAATAAAAAGTCAAACTTACACATATTATTTGATGAAACAAAAGCTGAATGATAAATCTCACACTAAGACAACGAGGAAGCAAAAGTTTTTTTTTTTTTTTTCGAAAATTAAAGCAATTTTCATTGATAAAGATATAATTACAAAGAGGCCTTGGGCCAAAGAAGAAGCAAGACAAGGCTTGAAACAAGGCTAATAACCGGCCCAACAAGGAAAATACATTCCAAACAAAAATAACTGTCAGCAACGGCAGTGACTTTGACAGAGGCTAAAATTCAGTCGACACTGGAGCTGCGGCCGAGCCGCTGAGGATTAGTCCCCGGGCACCGCGGGGGGGGGGGGGGGGGGGGGGGGTCTGCAGCAAGACGGAGAGATGTTCCAGTCCACGAGAATAGATCTAGATGATGAAGAATCACGAGGGCATCCCAATTTCAGAATTGCAAAAATGGTGAAACAGATCTTCGCGCACACAACTCTTTGAGAGGCCTTCTTCCCTCCGAAGATTCTGGAGTTCCTCTCCTCCTAGGTATGATACACCGCCCCAATTTTCTATGAAGATTAATTGAGTTGCTTGCCCACTGAACAAGTGGATCCCAACTCCTGATGGTTATGTAAATGTTCAGTTTGTATTTGATAAAACACCACAGAGGGGAAACAAATGAGCAATTTATAAAAATGTGGTCATGAGATTCAGTAGACATGTTGCAAAGGGGGCAAATGTTGATGTGCTTAGACATTGATTTGCTATTAAGAGTTGGCAATTTTGATTGCACTGCCAGCCAAAGAATGAACTTCATTCTTGGAATGGATGGGGAATTCCAAACTAAGTTGTGCCATGGTGCATTAGGAAAGTCCCCCACCAAATATAATACAGTGTGACTGAATGAGTACAGGCCATTTGGGGAAGCTGTCCACTTCTTACTGTCCCTTGTAGAACTAACTGGGGCAGGTAGGTTAAGCAATTCTGGGATGGCATTGGTGAGGGAAGAGAGAAAGGACCAATTGTTGTTAACAATGAAGTTGTCAAGAGTTGTATCTTCATGAAAACCTCCTTCAGTCAGTATTGATATTGGGAACCTTGAGCATAGGGGGCCCCCTGGAGCCCAATTATCCCACCATAGAGTTGTATCTGCCCATTACCAATAGAATGCTTGATTAGATTTCTGGCAAAATGTCTTAGTTGGAGCATTTTCCTCCAGCTCCAAGAACATAGTTGTGGGTAGTTTAAAGTCCACAAGTTCCTAGCTTTGAGGAGGTGAGAGTGGCACCATTTTACTCACAGTCTATCAGAATTATCTATTTGGAGATCCCAAATGAATCTCAGAATACCAACCCTATTAGCAATCTCCATATTAGGAAGCCCTAAACCACCTGCAAGTTTAGGAGCACAGACCTTGCCCCAAGCAACCTTTGATCCTGAAGCTTTCAATTCTGGGCCAAACCAAAGAAACCTTCTGAAAGTCTTATTTAATTCATCAATTACCCCCTTTAGTAAGATGAAGATGTTGCACCAGTAATTTTGAGTGGAGACAAGCACTGATTTGATTAATTATAGTCTACCTGCATAAGAAAGAGATCTTGATGTCCAGTTGGTAACTCTATGGGTGATCTTACTTACCAGTAAGCTGCAATGCTCAGCTTTGAGGATAGTTGAGATGAGAGGCACTCCTAGGTATCTCACTGGGAGTGTGGCTGCTTGAATGCCAAGTAGAGAATTGATCTCATTCTAGGTGTGATCATTGATGCTCGAAAAAAACACTGAACTCTTTGATAGGTTGATGTCAAGGCCAAACATTGAGCTGAAGAGATCTAGAGCAGACTTCAGAATTCAAACTGAGCAAATGTCCCCATGGCAAAACAGTAGTAAGTCATCAGCATAGGATAGGTGAGTTATTTTTTGATCCCTGCACCTCCAATGCTACTTGAAAGATGATACTCTACCCACGTAATTAGTAACAATAGAAGAAAAAGCATCCATAACTATGGCAAAAAGTAATGGAGAGATGGGAACTCCTTATCTGAGACCCCTTTTCCCTTTAAAATAGCCTTGAAACTCACCATTTAAGGCAATGGTGAAAGAAGAGGATGAGATACAAGCTTTGATCAATGCAATAAACTTAGGAGGGAAGTTATGCAGAGATAGACAGCTGATAATAAAGTCCCATTTCACTGAATCAAATGCCTTCTTGAGGTCCACCTTGATTGCACGTCTTGCAGGAGTCCCATGTTTGTGATATCCTCTGAGCAACTCATGAGCTAGGAGAATAGGGTCTGTGATCCTCCTACCATGGACAAAAGCAGATTGGGCTTGATCAATGAGAAGTGGCAGTGTGGACTAGAGCCTGGTAACAAGAAGTTTTGAAATACACTTATAGATAGTGTTGACACAAGAGATAAGCCTGTAGTCATGGAGTGAAGCTGGATTTTGACATTTTGGGACCAAGGCAATATATGTGTTGTTAACTTCAGCAAGGAGCTTTCCATTTCTAAAGAACTCTGAAATAGCTTTGATAACAGTCCTCCCCACTATATTCCAGGAACTTCGAAAAAATAAAGCATTGTAGCCATCAGGACTAGGGGCTCTATCCTTATTTAGCTTCAACATACAGCTTTGGATCTCCAAATTGGATGGCAGGTCTTCCAAGTAGGAGTGCAGGCTTGTGGGAACAACCTTGGTGATGAATGGGGCTAAGTCAGTGATGTGGTGAGTTGAAGGAGGAGATTAACCTAGCAAGGATTAGAAGTGGTTAACCACCTGAACTTTAATGTCCTCCATATCATGAATGACTTGTTCATCATCAAGAGTCAGTGAGACAATCTTCTTCCTGTTATTCCTTGAGCTAAGTGATCAGCGGAAGTAGCCATTCTAGACTTTTGCCTCAAGATGTCTTCTTGGATGTTCCCCAGTCTCAAAAATTCTGTGGTGAGGGCTCTTTCCATTTCTCTGAGAGTAGGGTCACTGGGAGAGAGGTCAAGATCCATTTGACAAGACTGTAGCTCAATCTGAATGGCATGGATTTTGGAATCCATTTCTAAAAAATCTTTCCCACAATTAGTTCTTAGGACTGTTTTAAGTTGTTTGAGCTTTTGAACAACTTGAAACATTGCAGTTCCTTTGATGTATGAGCTCCAAACCCCTTGTACTAAAGACGTAAAAAGCTTGTGAGATGTCCAAGTGTTGAAGAACCTGAATGGGGTATGCCTTTGTGGTCTGTTAATGTCAATGGTAACCAAAATAGGACTATGATCATATATACTTGGGGGAAGGAAATTACATAGTGGGAAAAAGGATGTCCATTTTTGGTTGACCAATGCCCTATCAAGCTTCTTAGCTATACAAGCATCTCCCATACTCTTATTTGACCAAGAGTAGAGGATCCCACGGAACTTAAGGTCCTCCAAGTCAGTATTTTGGAGGCAGTCCTTGAATTCAGTCATACTACACCTTTCCTCGTCTCTGGGTGCCATAGCAGTACTCCATTTCATAGATCCACCATGCTTCTCTCCTATGTTAGGAATGACATTAAAATCTCCCATTAACAGCCATGGAATAGGAGCAAAGATTGATGAGTGGTGGGTGATATCATCCCATAGAATCTGTCTTTTAGTGGCACAATTTGAAGCATAGATGAATGAGGTAAAAAATGATAAATTAACACCAATCAATGATATTGAGCAGTGAATTGCTTGTCTGCTGCAATGAATTACTGACAGATTAAGAATATTGGGGTTCCAAATTATCCAGATTCTCCCAAGGTCTGAAAAAGGATAATTGTGTATGTTAGACCACTGTGGAGCAATGTTTTTGTGAATAGCTACCGCATTTGAAGGTGCCACTTTGGTCTCCAAAATAGAAACCTGATCCAGTTTTTTAATCAGAATTTAGTTTTTAAATTTCTGATTGTTTAGAGGGTTGATTCAACCCTCTAATATTCCATGTAAGGAATGAAATCATGGGAAGGGTGGAGAGAAGTGACCACTAAGATGCCTTGGGTTACCTGGCTCCTTCAATCTTGCAACTTTCTTAATGCTTCTTGCAATCATTTTCCCATCCTGTATAAGCTTGTTACAGCTTCTTGGATCACTCAGTGAGGATGAAGCCAAAAAGGGTGAGGTAGAAATGTGCTTGTTGGCCTGAGCAGGCAATGGGGATTGTTTTGATGGGATAATGTGACTTTGTACCACATCAGTGGTCTTGGAAAGGTTGAATTTCCTGTGATTTCTATTTTTGGGAACTGTATTTGGTAAAACAGAGATATGGTGGGGAGAAGGTGTTTTGCAATGAGGAGTTGGCACTGATGATATGGAAATGTTGTGAGGGGAGAGTAGGGTGGTTTTAGGTGGGAAGAAGTTGAGCTTCCTGCTGCAAAGGGGGGAATGAGGTGGGGATGGTGATGCTGTATAAGAGTGATTCAGTGAGGGAATTGCTAACCATTGTGTTATTTGTGCTATTTGAGGAGGGAATTTGCATTGGTGAAGGTGAGTCAAGGTTATTTGGATCAAGATGTTGATGTTGTAGAGTGCAGAATTGGTTAACAATTGATGGCTTGTTATAATATTTCTCTCAATTCTTCCTTTCCTTCTGTGTTTTCTCTTCAAACTTGCACCTTTTTATAGGAAGTTACAACCAGCAAAATGATAAATGTATGAGACACTTTTCCCTTCAATTTCCAAAGACGGGCAACGATATCTCAATGGACGAACTACTTCAGACTTTTCAACCAATTGTTTCTTCAAACTTTTCAGCCCATTCTTCTTCGTCTTCCGTGCCGCCATATACTACTATTCTAATCGCATGCTTCAAATTTACCCACACGGTTTCACCTATCACCATTTCAACTTACACCTTTATTGCGGACCCCATATGTTTCCTCCAATTACTACATATTATACATATAACATACTCTCACTTTCCTTTCGTACCTATCTTACACTGTTTATCACCCACTGTTTTGAACTATTTATCATCGCGCCATCCACACCCTTGCTGTCTACACTTTTTCCTTACAACACCTACACAAGACACACACACACGTGTATATGTTATATATATAGAATTGTGCTAAACTAACCGTAGCCCCAGACTAATATGCCGAAATATTTATAACCATAAGATGGTTTAGCATGAAACCCACTTGAATTCTATATATATGCATCTAATGGTTGAAAACATGTAGGTTTATGAATTAGGCTAGGAGTTTTGGCTTAAGTATCACTTTTCATATATATGCGTGTGTTTTACATATATCCCTACACGCACAAAACACTCCTTTTTCTTTCTTTCCATCTTTCATGTGCTAGGCCCCACCACTACCATTTTCCTTGTGGATGGACCCACAAATGTTGTCCTACATCATTATTCCCAGCCTCAGTACCAGTGATAATCCCTGCCATAGGGTTACCAGACAAATATTCAATTAAAAAACTAAAGTGTCTAGGAGTCTAATCGTCTTCTTAAATTTGTTTCTTGCTGATGCTATTTTTGAACACATTGCCATGGTGGTGGTTCTCAACACCAAAGCTAGCAATACCAAGGGTTCATCCTAGTGAATGCAGTTAATTTTGAACTCATTGTGCCAGAGGCAGCTCAAAAATGAGTGGTGGAGCAAGCTTTGAGCAAACTTTTAGCATTCTAACCAGTGATATATACCACATCTCCATGCTTTTTTCGACACCCTTTACAATTTACATACCGTGCAGAAACTGAAGCAAGCAACTTCTAACCCCTAGATTAAAAATATCTTTCAACAAAACCCTAAGAATCAATACAACTCCCATTTCAAAGTTTGTGGAAGTTCTTAGCATCCTATTACTGAAAATCCAATTGTCACAAATGATCTACTTCAAAAATCATGATGTAGAATGTCCAAAACTGTTGCAAACCAATTGATAACCCAGTGCTCATCATACACAAATTATGAATGAAGTCCTACCCCAAAGGAACACCACAAAGCACATCTTATTTCACCTATCAAGTCAAAGTTCATTGCCATGGGAGTAATACAAAGAAAAGCTACAATGAATGTACCGCAGAAGAACTAAAAGAAAATCTAAAACCAATTTCGTGAAATATAAGAAGCAGACACTTTAGTTAACAAGGATAACTGAAGAGTTCTTGACTCTTAGGAAACTAAAGGGTGGAAGCATCAGACAGACCCTAATGCTCATCCTCAACACCCCATCCCACCCCAATTTTCTACAAACTATTGTTGTAAGGTTCCAGGCTTGGTGTTGTGAACAATGTGATGTGTTGCTTTTCCAACTGCATACCCTTGTGTTCATGTAAGCATTTTGAGTGTGAGAACTAGTAAGGAATATATTAGCTCAAAATACTAAAAGCATGTCAAGCATTGCACTACGTTTAAAACCATAATCCAACTTACCATGCCATAATCTGTGATAATCATCGAGACATAATCTGAAGGTGTTGCATCGTAACTGTCACAACAGAAAACAAAAAATGAGACTGCATTGCCAATTAGAGTAAACAAACAATTTTGGGCTAGACATCTTCTACATGCTTACATCAGATTCAGAAGTTGTAGATTTTCACTATTAGCCCAACCATCCAAATAGTTGATGTCCTCTCTACCATTAACCTTTGCAATGGCATCTGGATCGCCTGAAAGACAGGTAGCTAACCACTAAGTGACCAGACACACAGTAACATGAGAAACAATCCCAATATGAAATAGTGCTGGAAATGCATACCAAGCTCATTAGAGCAGATTGAATCAAGCTGCACTCTTTCATGAAATTTATATGTTTCACAACATACTAAAACTGGAATGCGGAATGCATGAGCAACCATAGCAACACATGCAGTCCCAACTCTTGAGTAAACTGTTCCATTAGACAACACTGATGAAGCCCCCAAAAATACTCGAGTAACATCATGCATGATAAAAGAAACAGCATTTATATGAGTGTATGTACAGCTAAGACCCTTTCCCACCAGCCTACGAAGTAACATTTGCCCTTCAAGCTTTGGACGTGAATCCACCACCACAACACGGAACTGTTTGCCCAGCTCGTACGCGTGTAATAATATCATCTCAACAGCAGAGGATGACCCATATGTGAGAAGAACATCCCCATCCCTGATTTTCGTTACAGCAAGCCTGACTATCACCTGATCCGCTAGTATTATCTTCTCATTTATAAAATGATCAATATCTGAGAGGAGAATTGCTTTTGCTTCTGACTCAGATAGTGTCAGAGATAAATTGGCAATTCGAGTCTTAAGAAACCTAATTGCATTACCCATGCTAATTGAAAGGGGCCTGCATTCAATCAGAAATGAAATATACCAGTTAATTTTGGCAGTTAAGTCTCTGCTAAGAGCCTTTCCCGTTGGTGTCAAGTAATCTTTAATTGACTCTTGGAATGCTTGAAGCATTGCAATGCAACGGGAATTTCCGCCAGATATATCTCCAGCTAAATACCTTAAACCAACCTGACAACAAATATAAATAGCCATAATCAGATGAAGCTTATGAAATATAACAGGCCTTGGTTTACAAATTATGAGCTAACTCTAAGGTACTAATCACCACCACATCTCTCTTTGGTCATAGAGGAAGAGATTTTTCTCCCCCATTTAGGTTCCAGATGGAATGAAATGACAGATCAGATTGGAAGAAAATAATGTACGGTTTGGAAGAAATAGCTGAATTGAACTGAGTTGAAATGTCTGAAAATTAAAAACCCTTGATATTTACTGGCCTCTTAACTGTAAGAACGATGAAACCACCATCACATTGCTAAGAAGATACCTTGTAAACAGCAGGATGTACTGGATCAAGTTGGAAAAACTTTGACTCCAGGTCAGGAAGCCGTGTTCCGTGTTCATACTGTGGTAAATGCCTAAATAGTTCAACTCTGTTCCTAGCTTCAGTTTGTTTTACAACAGCACGCTTTTTTGCCTTTTCCACTCGGCTCTTATCATCAAATTGCATTCGTGGATGAGGCACGTCTTTCTTCCTATCTTTATCTGGTGGACGATCACTGCCTTTTTTCTCAGAAGCTGCAACTGGAGAACTATCCTTCTTTTGTGAAGGAGCCTTGGCAGCTTTAGCAGGCTTTGGATTCACCGAAGTCACTGCTCCAGAAGTAGCAGCAGGTGCCTTATTTCCTTCACCTAGATGCACATCATGTTTGAGACGCATGAACAATGGATTGGTTATTATAATGCGGCAAATGGGTACATAAAAATACCCAATAAATAAAACTGATAACACTATTTATCAAATAATAATAATAATAATCCTAAGAAACAAAGCGCACTAAATTTTAGTAGGCTGGGGAAGGTGTTAATATCCATTCAGGTACTTCAAGAATAAAAGCAAGAAATTGATTTGTAGCAACACTTGAGATAAAACCGTAGATTTCATGCATTTCCCAAATTATGAGGAATGTCTTATGTTTTAGTAGGCTGGGGCAGGTGTTAATATTCATTCTGGTACTTCAAGAATAAAAGCGAGAAATTGATTTGTAGCAACACTTGAGATAAAACCTTAGAGTTCATGCATTTCCCAAAGTATGAGGAATGTCTGATGACTGACTGCCACATAGTAGGCATGGGCTGGACCACAGTGTATTGGCCACTCTAAGGAAGTCACTAAGCTGTTCTTTTATCTTCTAAATTATGCCTATTGATTAACATACATTTAAAGACCTATACCATATCTGGACACATGAACCTTATAATTTGATCATGTTAGTTACTATAATTGTCAAGCACATCCGAGATTTCACAATGTAAACGAGTAATAAATGAGGATACTGGTTAGTCAGAAACTAGCACTACTAGCCACTCAACGTGTTCGCTTGAGGACCATAGTAAATGAAGTTAAAGCACTCATATTAGCGAAACTACAAATCTGAGTCGATGTCTTCTCTTAACCACACACACCCAACTACTACCATCCAACCATCACTCAGGATGCTAAATTCCAGGAAGTGTTCCCATCAAGCAAATTTCATGGAAAGTCTTCCACTAACATTGGGACCGGCATTCCAAATAAGAGTTGGATCCCAGAATGACGACAGGAGAAGATAGCGCGAGAAGATAAACAACTTTCTTATGATAAGTACAAGAACAGAAACAACTTTACCTGAAATGTTTAGTTTTTACTTCATTCAGTTTTTCTAAATTTCCAAATAGAACAAAATACTTTAGGAATGTTCAGGCATATATCCTTTTTACTTCATTGAGGAATTATTCATCCATGGTAGGAAAAACATAACCAAAAACAAGGAATATCCTGATTTTTTTTTTATCGACTCCTTGATCCCAACATTACTTATTGGGAAAAACCTCCTGTGTCCCAACATTTCTTAACATGTTAGTAATCCTATCCTCTTATTTTGATTTAACAGCATAAGAATTCACGAGCATGAGACTTACCATTTCAATAGAAGTTCCATTTGTGAGTTCAAAGCCCAACCTAAAAAATGACACTTCACATTTCTTCATCAATGTAACCCATCAATCTTCGCAAAAGCAAAACAAAATCTCATATCTTATTCAAAGTTTTATGAAATCACAATACATACACACAAACACAAGATGCGAAAAATAAAAATAATTTTTTTTGATAAGATGTCCAACAAACTAAATTATTTTGAATCAATTCTAGCCAAAACAGCTATAATATGGCATGTTTAAAAATAAAAACAATTCCTTGATTGCTGAATATTTCCCAAAGTTTCCAGCTGGCTTGTTCTTGTGTATAAAATGACAAAAGGTTTCAAATACCCACATACTAACATGCATATCAATTTACACAAACAAAAGATCAAACTATAAAGATATTAGAAAGAATATAAAATCTCATAGCGCAGAATAGGCCCGAACAAGTGGTGATGTAAAGTAGAAAGCATAATTTGCAATTCAAAAGCTAATAGACACACTGCTGGCATGAAAAAATATAAATAGTTTAATAGAAGGCTAGAACTCCATATTCACTAAAATCATCAGAATGACAAAACCATCAACTTTAATAAATAATTTATTAGAATAAGAGGAAAAGACGGCGGGTACCTTTAGCAGCAGCCTTCGCAGCTCGTTGTGCCTCTTGAAGAGCACGCCTTTCTGCTTTCGAGGTTTTCTCTTTCAGCGACTTTTTACTTGTAGGCTGTTCATTTTGTACCTCAGCTGATGATCCTCCACCCTTTTCTGGGAATAAAGTTTTTGAATCTTTCTTCTCAGAAAAATCTGCATGTACTCGGGCATATCAAAATCAACAATCCAAAATGAGCTTCCAACACGAGATCACCACAGCAGAAAATTACTCTAATTCAAATGATAACAAGGTCATTTTCGATCAGAGCATTCACGTAAGGAATCTCCAATCAAAGGATTCATCCAGCTATTATTATTATTATTATTATTATTATTATTTACATATTCTTAAAGTTATGGAAGTCACAATTGTACATATAGTCACATTTTTATTCTTAAAGTTACTAAAATCACATGGCATACACAGTTTTGCACCCATAAAGCCTGTAGTTTCAAGCATATCCTCAAAGAATCCATACCTAGAATCAATCTTCACTCTAGTGTATTTATATACACATATGTATACATACATATATATAAACGAGATACATAAGGATATATAGACATATGTATACATACATACTAATATATATATATATATATATATATATATAAAGAGTTCTAGAATACCAGATACACCAGGAAGCGTGTTCACCATGGACACCGTCGTCAAGCTACTCGCCGGGAAATTATTAGGCTTGACAGCAGTCAAATGGAATCCGCCGCTAGGGAGTGAGGACGCGAACTTCCCGGAGTTGCTTCTGAGAGGCCCACCGGGAGAGTACGCATCCTCCCGGAAATCGACATATGAGGCCGTCGACGGCGAGGCGAATTCGGAGGGATTGTAGCTGCCGACGGGAATGGACTCGCCAGAGGGTCGACGGAGGGGTGAGAAAGGCAGATTACCGGGAACGGACATGTCGGAGATGTGACGTGGAGGGGGGATCATGACCGGAGAGAGGGAGTTGCCGGAGAGGGAGATCTCGGTGACCGGAGGAGAGGGGTTGTTGGAGGCCCGGCCTGGGGCGAAGAACCCCACCTGGCGCACTTTAGGGTCGATTACAGTACGCGAGGCGCGGCGGGGCTCCATGGGTCGGGGTTGGGATTGGCGTTTGGTTGGAAGGAAAATCAGGGTTTCATGGAAAGAGGAAGTGGGTTTGAGAAAGAAAATGTAGGGTTTAGATCACTGGAGAAGGAATCTACAGGTGGGGTTTTGAGAAGGAGAGAAGCTTTTATTTTTAATATTCTTTTATTCAAAATTACCCAAAAAAAAAATTGAAAAAAAGAAGAAAGGACTAATTATTTGATGCAATCCTGACACTTGACAGTGACTATTCACAAATCAGTTACATGTTTAATCTCTTTTTCTTCCTATGTCTACTCTACATCATTTCTCAAAAATTCCAAAAAAAATTAGACAGTCGGGAGCATAATTCCGGTCCATAATCACCATTAAACTCGTAAATAAAAATTTAATTCCGATCAACAATCACCATTGAACTCGTAAATAAGAATTTAATTTTGATTACATGTAATATTTACTGGATGTGACCTGACATGTTTATTTTGAAGGTTATGACGAAATATCAAACAACCACTTATCACTGGAAACAATTTTCAATAATGGTTTAATGCAAGTATGATCAATCATATTTCAGAAAAATAAAAAGCTATAAAATTGTCAAACCTTTTGTCTTACACTCATGTTTCATTTGTCAAACATTTTGTCTCACACTAATTAGAGTAATTGAGTCATCTCATGCTCAATCATTGAATCTTAATTGAATAATAATAATAACCATTTGGAAGAAGAGATACCAACCATTGTTGACAGGATCAAAATATCTGGATTCCATTAGCGTCCAACACGAATTCATAAATAAAAAATGAAAAAAAGACAGAAATTCGGCATCCCGACCCCATTCGGATGATCGGATGAAGGCAAGGATGATGAATCGATGATAATGAAAAACTCCCAAGTAGAATCATTTGAAGGGTATAATTAGATATTTAAGAATTTTGGAGAACAGCGCGGCAAGGTGATCATTTTCACTCCATTTACTACATTAAAACTGAACCAACATTACAGCAAATACAGAGAATGAAAAATAATTTTTTTCGTGAAGCATCAACGCAATAAGCATTTCTGAAGCATTAACGAAAGGCTTCATATAAAACTGGGGCAGACCGGTCCCTTGGAAAGTCCAAGACGAACTTCCATTCCGTGATGCGTGTCCACTGGAAGTAAAGTTTCAGAGTCGCGTGGGTCTGCAAGAAGCATCAAAGAAAGAACTAAGAACCCATGGAAGCATCAGATAAAGAAACATGAACACATAACAAGCCTCTGGAGCCAAAGAGATCTCATTCTATAGCTTGTCTGAGTATGGCTCTAAAATTCACCAACTACTCGGGCATGAAGAGGACCAGATCAAACTGAGGACAATTCCCAGTAAACTAATTTCGCCCAATTCTATCTCTAACAGAATTCAAGAAGTCTTAAATATCTCTGATAGAATTTACCAATATAGAGGAAAAATCACTTCTAATGCGTGTGTGTGAGAGAGAGAGCACATACTGATCTACTTGATAAATGGCAAACTAAGAGAGAGAGAGAGAGAGAGAGAGTAGACTAATATACATACGTGATAAATGGCAAACTAAGTTACAATTCAAATACTGTTGACCAGATTAGGTTGGCATTCACAAAATTTGATATTGAACTTTGAAACCGGAACCACACTTACAAACCATTCCTATGAGAGACATTGACCTAAATGTGGTAGTGAAATCTGGAGAATTATCATTTACTGCTTCTAAGAAGCTCATTTTTTTACTAAGAAGCTCCATTAAGCTAAATAAAATATAACTCTTTCTTGTCAACCCACGCATCCTCATTTTGTAATTTGTAGGGAAAGGACAAGAAATACTAATCAGTAATCATATAACACCCAATCCAACACTAAAAAGTTGTTAAAATCCAAACTTCAAGTCATCCACATTTTTTGGACGCCCGTAATGCAGTAAGAAATCTATTGAACAGTATGAAGGATGATTGACCTTCCTCAAATCTGTTGGCATACCTTAGAGGGATGAAGATAATAAGTCCAAGGACTTAGTTGAAAGAAATATAAAGAGCCAAGCACAAAATTTAGACCACCCAAGTATTTCAAAAAGTTCATGCCAAAATTTTAATTTATAAGGAACTGAAAGCAACATTTAATTTGTGCTCAATTAGTATTTTGTTACCATTGAGATAATCTTCAAAACCGAAGTCTTCCAGACCTCCTGTCAAAGCCTCCAACCCTAGCATGGAAGATGGTATAACTCCTGGCGGCCTCTGAAATCTGCATTTGTTGAGGAAGAAAAATACAGGAATATTAGTATGCAGATTTTACTTGAGCAAAACTAAGCAAGAAAATTTGTTTCCTAAATTAAATACAATTCCAGTAGCACATGTGCAAATTCACATGCATAAGCATGGAACTAAAAGTGTAAAAGAAGTAAACAAAGTTTGCAACAAAAACTGGAAACGTGCTGTATGCTGATATGACAATAACAATATCCGTCCACAATAAATAAATAATGTAAGTGTGGTAAACCCATGTCAATGCATCCACTATTCTTGCAAGAAGAAAATAATGCTAAACATACTTCTTGTGAACTACTAGTAGCATGATTATAATCTATATAACAAATGTACAGTTCAATACAGTGACTACCTATGTGCAGGCCAGGAGGATAATAAAGCCAAACGATACAATTTGCCACTATCAATATCTAAAAACTGAGATTATAAGGGCAGATTTGGTTCCTTTTTTAAATCAGTTCTATTGAAATTTGGAAAATAAAATGAATGCTGTGAGGAACACATCCACATGGCTTGCAAAATTGCATTTGGAAGGGTTTTCTTAGAAATGGCTATTCTAGATAAACTGTTTAATATAATTTTCCATGTATTTGAAAAGCCTAGACCATTAAATTCTGAAACAAACAAAAACGTCGGCATTTTTTTTAAAAAAAATAGTCATTATCAATTAAGAAAATTTGGAATTGATATGTACATATATTTCCATTGTTACCAAATTTTTTATTAAAAAATACAATAACAAAGAACTACACAAACTAAACTACTAAACTTAGATTATGTATAGTCCTAGTTTTCTGGCCCCTGCTAAAATGAAGCTCAAAAGCTCACACATTTAACTCATTGTGTTAAAAGATCTCATAAGATTTCTTCGTTCAGACACACCAAATGCACATCTTCCTGAAGAGTAATGCCTCTATTTCTGAGTTAGTATTTCCTTTCAACACCCAGTAAAGCTGAATGTGCTATCTTCAACACGACAATGAAATGCTAAATTCAGCTGAATGAGAGACCAGATAGCTCTAGCTAAATCACGACGAGCAGAAAATGGAAGGAATCATTCTATAACATTACATAAAAGCCACTAGCAGCTGACACAGGATGATGGAACAAGAAGAGCCCAAACAGGTGACACACTGAATGCTTCAGACTTCAGCTACCAACCAAAAAAGCTGCTTTCTATATCCATCCTTCTATCTTTTTCATCAGTAAATTCAATTCCCTCTTCAAATTAATTGCATGACTGTTAGGCACCTTTTATCTTTAGCACTTCAAGTATATTACCACAAAAGTTAGAAAACTTAATTACCTTCCCACTCCATTTCTTAAGGTGTCAAATCTAACACAAACTCCAGACACATTATATCAGACTATCAGGTCAATCGAGGGTTGTCACAACCCGAATTCTAGGAATCCGGTGCATGAGGAAAGAAAAGTAAAACCAACTCCGAACCAAGTCCCAACCACGGAATCTAATCGAGAAAAATGAAATAAACCAACTTGGTCAACACCTCTAAGTCACCAATAGAGTCTCAAAGAAATACATACAAAATAAGCCGGTGGCTAGGTTTTGCCAGTGACCTTAAACTAAACCCTAAAAATTATATTGGATTGCCAAAACAACAGAAGAAAACAGTAAAATAAATTTCTGTTGGACTTTAAAAAACTATGAGGACCAGCTCCTGTAGGCTGTAAAAATCTCTGAGCAGTCCTCCTATTTCAAGTGAGATTGCACACTTGCATTAAGACATATGCCCAACCATTGCGTAGAGGATTTCCCGGAGATCCAACATTAAAATTTCATGTAAGAAAATTCAATAAAAAACACAAAAATCAGTCAAATATTTCGCTTTTCTCTCTCCTTTGAATAATATCCTGAGATAATCTCATCTAAATGTAATTTGAATTGATCATTTTCTAGTTTAACCATCTTGATATGCCAAACTAATACCATGAGATTTGTGTGTATCTAATTTTATTTCTCTAACCACAGTACTAATCTGGAGATGACGTAATTCTTAAATAAATAAAAAAATGAGTTTGATGTTTTCAGAAGTTATGAAATCTAAAACCAAGTATTTTAATTCCATTGCCTTCTCCTTCACTTTATCAGAATCCAGAAACCAAGCAAAGCATGAATCAAGTTCAGTTCTTTATTCACAAATGATTCAGAAAGCCCCAATTGACGAACAACTAAAAGCCCCAAAAGCGAAATTCCTAGTAATTTACAGCCAAAACTAGCGTGTGCTCTTAATATATCAAGTAATTAAATCACATCACACAACACAAACACAAGCCAATGGTGATTATACACAAAACATGAAGTGCTTAAAACTCATACCTAGAAAGAATTTGTCGATCGAGGTCCATCTTCATTGGAAAAGCGGAGCCGTACGTGTTCGCGAGGACTCTTCTCTTCATCTCCTCCTGCGTCGTTCTTGCCTGATCAGAACACACATAAGAGATGAACATAAATAAGGCGATCTATACATATATATATATATACACACACATACAGCAATATACATATATAAATAGAGAGATTACAGATTGATAAGCAGATTGGAGGGGATGAGATTCAACAATCTCACTCTTGACACCTTGTAGTCCAAAACGAAGCGCATCGTTTTGGACACCTCCGATTTCGTGCGCTATTGTCTTTGGTGCTTCCATTGCTTTCTCTCTCTCTTTCTTCTTTCTTGCTGTTCCTCTGTCGGGGCTGGAATTTGGGACTTGGGGCCTTTAGAGGGAAGGGCGAAACCGAGTTGCATTGTGATTCGGAATGGGTGTGAAATGTGGATACAATGACTGGGCCTCGTAGCCCAATTATGAGTGATTTGTCATTGGCAAGGGGCCATTTGAGATTTTAGTCCACCAAGGTGTTGAATCCAAAAGCTTAAATTATTAAATTGGGTTAATACCTAACTCATTTATGTTGTTTTTCACTTTTTATTTAGATCTGACGTGGAATAAATCTCCCCTTATAACACACGGTCAATTTGTGATATCCAAAATCTTTTGCTGTCAATATTGTTGATATCCAAAATTCACACTAGGTATCCATAGATTCAACCATATAACACATGTCCTCCTTGCCACAATGAAAATACTTTACTTTGGGCTTGGCCTGCTTCTTGTCCTTAACGTTGACAATCCCAGCCCTAATTCAATATTTTATACTTAAGAACTGTAAGGCTGCTTTTTTCTTTTTCTTTTTCTTTTTTTTTTATTTTTTTTATAGATAAAATGAAATTTTTAACTTTCATTTTAAATGATACTTGGGTGATGTTTAATAAAATTAAAAATTGAGTACATAAATATTCAAGAGCTGAATTTTAAGTACTAATTGTAAATTGAGATTTATTTTGATATTATTTTAAACTTTAAACACTCAAGATATCTTTGTTATTTAAAATTTTGAGTTACACCTCCTAAAGTTTGTCATATTGACAATTAGATGCAAGTTAGTTCATTTTTTAACAATCACACCCCCGATCGGAAAATTGTATCCAAACAGCCCCTAATAAGATGTAAAAAGTCAAGATTGCCCTTCATTATTTTATTTAGTTTTAGTAAATAATATCAGAATCATCAAAGGACCAAAATGCCCATTCTCTCTCTCTCGCTCATAAGTTACCTTTTCTATACATTACAAAATATTATGGTAAAGTGCATTAAACCCCCTTGAACTATTGGTCATTTGCAATAAACCCCCCTAAATCACAAAAAACCCCCCTGAACTATGATTTTGTAACAATTTACCCCCTTGAACTATTGGTCATTTGCAAGAAACCCTCCTGAACTACAAACCCCCCCCCCCTCTCCCCTGGAACTATGATTTTGTTGCAATTTATCTCCCTGAACTATGATTTTGTTGTAATTTAGCCCCATGACATCAGCTTCCGGCACCGAAAATTTTAAAAGACCAGTTTACCCTTATAACACACTGCGTCGTTTTAACTTATACACTTCTTACATTTTTTTTTCTGCCAAAAGATACTTTTCACCCAACACAACCTAAAACAGAGAGCTAAAGAGAGAGAGAAAGGAGACCAAAGAAATTCAAGGTCGGCGAGATGGCTTGGTCTTAGATGATGGCAGCTTGTGCACGGAGGACTCGGCTGTGATGAGAGCTCAGTTGACTCGGCCGTGAACTGTGGAGGCGGCAGCGAGCTCAAGGGGGCTCGGCGGTGAACTATGGACAGTTGTGTGCTCGAAACACGGAAGGCGGTGTACTCAGCTATGGAAATGGTGGAATGGGCCAGCGAGCTTGGAATGGACGGTGGAATAGACCAGCGAGCAAGGTGAGCTGAACGGCGGGCAAGGCGGTGACAGTAATGGGCTGACACAACGGTGCAGAGAAGTGCGATATATATGACCGACGGATCTGGCAGGTAGTGCAACGGCTATGATGGAGCTATGACAAAAGACCCACCAATCCCAGCAACAACTTCCTCGGTTTCCTTTCAGTAAATCAATTCGCGCGGATGGGGTAAACTGCAAAAAAATATATAGTTCAGGGGGGTTTCTTGAACATATCCCAATAGTTTAGGGGGGGTTTTTGCAACTTTTATAGTTTAGGGGGGTTTCTTGCACATACCGTAATAGTTCAAGGGGGGTTTTTGCAACTTTTGTAATTCGGGGGGTTTCTTGCACATACCCCAATAGTTCAGGGGGGTTTAATGCACTTTACACCGAAATATATACAGTCACCACCATGGCCGCTGCCACCTTCTCCCACTGTGGCCACCTTCTGTCCACCCTTACACCATCCACCATCGCCATAGCCCACCCCTTCTCTCTTTCAACATCCACCCCAAATCGCCGTCGTCGGCTACATAACCACTGCCTCCGTCCACCTCCTTCTTGGTGTCACCGGCTGATTGCGAATTTTGGGACTCTCAACTATCAAATTTTTTGGGTAGGTATTGGTAGGCCAACTTATGGCGATGGTAGTGGTGGTGATTGCGGAGTAATCAAGCAAATACTATGGAATTGAAAACATCGACATCCAACAACCCATCTCTGAGCGCCGATTGCCAATTCTGAGTTTTCAGCCCCAACCCACCACCGGAAAGGGTATCACGTGCCCCCATGCACCGTTAATGCGCGTAAGGTTGCACCCACCAGTGCACCTTCATCTTCTTCCCCAAAAAATCCAGATCAAAGAAAACCCAGTAAGTAACTAATTCATTCTTAACTTCCAAATATGTTATAGATTTTCCAGGAAAATAGAGAATAGAAAACGAAAGAAAATTGAAAAATGGCTAGATAAATTTTGGAATGTGTCTAGAATTAAATTAACTGATTTTATAAAGCTATTGGAGATTGTTGGAAAAGAAAAACTATATCCATGTTACAAGTGATAATATTGAAGATGGGTTTGTGTTTGTGAGGTTTATGACATTAATGGGTTGGGGTAGGTAATTCCAAATAAATAAATAAATAAATAAACAACAACAATGAGTTTCTACCAAGAGGCAAAGAGGTGAAGAATAAGTGAAAAGGTTTCTACTTTCATCTTCAATCGAAGTGGGTTGTATCATTTGGGTTGATTTTTCAATATTTATTTATTCCAACTTAAAATGTTCAGTTTCTGTTTTTCTGAGGTTTTTTTTTTTTTTGAAAGTTGTAACTTGTAAGTTGTAACAGAGAAAAATCAGAATAGAAGGGACTAAGTGGGAAGTGAACTCTTTGTGATTCTAGAGAGAGATGCAAGCAACTGATGGGTAGACACAAAAGGTGTGAAAAGCTTTATAAAAATGGTCCTGGTTGCAGATGAAGGCCATCTATAGAGATTATGTGTATGTGTATAAGTGTGTGTGTATATATATATATATATAATACCGTTGCAAATCTGTTTACTTTTTGCATGAAAGAGTGAGCTAGTTTTGTTCAATAAAATAACCAGAAAAGGTTAAAATGGTATTTTTATTATATAAATAAGTAACTGTATAAGTTAAAAAATAATAAAGTTGATTTATCTTGTATCAGAGATGGTAAAGGTGTGAATGTTGATTTTATTAAATTTAAAGAGATGTCATTATTAAAAAATAGATAAATTTTTATTTAGTTATCAACGTAATAAATCTCAAAAAGAGGTGTGAGTCTACAATTTTAGGGCGCCTAAATTTATCTCATCTGAGTAGGTCTTGGATATGAATTTTTTTTCTTTATCTTTTTTTGTTTTAAGTCTTTTTATTTATTTATTATTTTTCATTTTTTCCAAATTATTTTATCTCACACTTTTTAGTGGTACTATCTCATCATTTATGTTCCTATTAATCATACCTAAAGCCGACTTTAAAAATTCATCTTTTACTTATTTATTTATTTATTTTTATCGACTTGACGTCTTTCGCAGGTGCAGACTGTTGGCATTAATTTGTCAGTGATCCTCAATCCTTTGTACGGAGTACATCATAAATTCATGCGCATGTATTTTATAATATACATGTATATAAAATAAAATCTTCAGAAAGATCTAAGTGGTCTTACTCACCGAAAGGACAGAAAAAGATACACCATATATAGAAAGTCCAAAAAAAGAGGGTCACTTTATATATATATAGTACTAGGGAAAGAGGCACTTGTATAGCTTTTTACAGTAATTTCAAATCTTTAGAAGTCCAAGAATGTATCATTTTTATTGAGAGAAGAGTTGTTGTCACCTGAGTTACATAGAACCAAAGTGAGAGGAAGGGCAAATTCCTAAAGGGTGGAAGCGAGAAAGTCACAGAATTATTAATAACTCATGAATAATGAGAATTTGAACAAAAATATATTTGGGGTGTGAGAGCGATATTTCTTGAAAAAAATTATGTGACTTAACTCGTGATTGTGTTAGCCTTCTCTTTTAAGGAAAAAATAATAAAAAATTTAATTTTGACATTTTTTACACCTGCCTTCAATTTATTATTTTGAGTTCTATAATATTACTATAAACTCCATTTTTTAACAAGTATGATGAATGTTTAAGGTATACTTGGATTATTAGAAGCACACAAGGAGTCTACAACAATATGTGCAGATTTCATATCTTCCTGCAACTTGACACACTCTGAGGTTATTGGGTTAATTGAGACTACTGTGACGACAATTTAGGAATAGCAAGTTGTTGTCTAACATGTTGTTTAACATGTCTCTTTACGTGTGACTTTCTTTTGATTTAACATGTATTTTAATTTTAATTATCAAGGTGACGGTAAGATTTTCTCTAATATTATGTTAACAATCATTTACTTAAAAGTAATAATAATAAAAAATAATAATAATAATAATGGTAAGAACCTAATCCTCCCTTTTGAGCTCCATGTAACCAAGTATTTATACAGGTAGTATGGACTCTTGTGTCTTTGCCTTTGTTCAGTAGACTAGGATTTATCCACAGATGATAAAAGGAAGCCTCGTCAAATATACAAAAATTTTTATGATTGTACACAAACTCTTCCAATATTTTTAGAATATCTCCTCATAAGTAGATATAATAAAACCTTATATTTATATTTTGTATATTTGTTTCCTATTCTTTTGTTTATTTATATATATATATATATATATATATATATATATTTAAGGCAAGAAGGATTAGAAGTTAGATTAATAGATGCAGAAAGTCGAAGTCTGATACTCCAAAGTTCATCGGAAGTATTAACCTACTGGGCTATAGAGACATCTGCCCCAACAAGTGATATAAGAGCCTAATAAGTGTTGTGTTATGTGTATCTATATATGCAATATATATC